CGATTCTTCCGTCGAATCACTATCTTCATCCTGCGATGTTTTTTCATTCCCAATAACTTTGTTCTTATCTTCAACTTTATAGGTATCTTTATTCTTCAATTCTTTCTTCAAATCATTATTTTCATCCTGTGACATCTCTATCCTACTCTTGATGTCCTTCTTGTCAGTCCTACGTTTTTTAATTTTAGGGACATAGTCATAGTCATCCTTGCATTCCATGTTGATGTTGCTGATAATGGTACCAATTTAAATATAATTCAATTTCATTAGCAACTTCAAAGATTACATATATGAATAGATAAATACTAATTCTATGTAAAACACGTTTTACAAACCTATTTTCTAAAATCAGCTGATTGTGAGAGCATCCAAGATCTAGTCATGCACACAAAGTTTTATATTATTTAATAAGGCTCAAAAAGGTCAATGTTACGAAAACAGTTAGAGCATTTCAGGCTTTATTTAAAACTACGTTTTGCATCACATCATAACATTACTTTGAAGACCAAGAACTTCGTAAGATTTCTGTAAAATAGAAAGAACGTTTAATAAATGGCCTGATTGTATATTTACTTCGATATTAAAAAAGTTCTCAAAAACTAGACATCCTGTTTCCCTCATAATTGCTCGTTAAATTATCACAGACGTATTTAATGACATTACCTGTCTCGTAGCCTTCATAAACAATTACATCATCTGTATGTGGTCTTCGAATAAAATAAATTCTTTTTGGAGTTGCCTTCGAGTAGAGGGCGAATTGGATGCCTCTTTTAAATCATATATAGCACAGGAAAACTTTTAAAATGAAATAATATGCTTTTAAGGTTATATTTTCTTCGAGCTGCGTGCAAGAGGCCGAGCACACAAAAGTGCATAGGCTGCACATGCATAGACCGCTACCAATGAGCATCTTATGTAAATTAATATGGCGACTTTATGCTGGATGCTCATTGGTTTAGCGGTCTTAAGCCCCTTGCACAATAGGCGATAGCCATAGCGATAGCTACACAGCCTACAGCTTTGGCTGCGTTCCTTTTGGGCGCTCACGCGCTGTAAGCATCGCTCTATCTTCGTTTGATATTCGATGTGCAACGAAGATAGAATGATGCTTACAGCGCGTGTGAGCGTGTGAGCGCCCAAAAGGAACGCACCCTTTGTCGGCAGTCGGCACCTTTGTCTCGCTATCGTTATCGCTATCGCCTATTGTGCAAGGGGCTTAAGTTTCGCTTTCGAGTTTGTCGCATTTGTTTGTGACTTGTGCTTGTGACCGTTTGTGATGGTTTGCGATTTGCGACCGTTCGTGATGTTGCGTGTATGAATCGACTTTTTATTTCGCAGATGCGACAGACACGTCACGTCTCAACGAAACGTCAAATGCATAAAAGCGTGCATTAAAGGACATCTGTAAGGTAGCATGTTAATAAGGTGTAAATTACGAATAACATTGCCTTTAATTGTATAATATTTTCAGATAATGAAACAGTCTTTCTTATAAGAATATCAATCAACAAAACGCACGGTCTATCCTGGATAACATTAAGAGCAAGACTTACCCGACAATTAATGAGAAACGATACAACATGGCTTCAGCGTCCAGCACAAGCGCGCGTAGCTTGTTCATCGAGTCGAAGATGAGATTGGCGGATAGGGTGCAAGTTAATGTCAATAACATTGCCTCGCTCGCCAGGCAGATACAACGGGGTTCCAGAAGCAACGAAGTAACATTTCATTTTTCTAATTAAAAAAGCTAACTGGTATTGTAATGTTAAATTAATGATCTTGTGCCGCTGAACTTATCCTGTTGTTTGTCCCTGCAGATTTTAACGCACGCAGCGAGGAACTTTGCGCAACAGGAGCATGGGCTGGAAACGATGGAATCCAGTTTGAAAAAGCTTGCACTCATCGCTACTCACTTGGAATATCAAATGGACGCGATTGACAAAAGTTCGACGATGTTGGAGGAAGTCACCGAACAAGTACGGTCTATGCAACGATAACAGTATTAATACATACGTATTTATTTTATGTTGTATACATAAGAATTCTATATAACGAGTGTCTGCAGAATACGTATTTATAAACTATGTGGTATGAATGTTATATATTGCAGGATTGATTAATTTTAATCTTCGTCTAACAAGGTACAGGTCAAATCCTACTCGTATCATCTCTGTTGAATATCCAACAGATTTCCACCCAAATAAATAAATGCAATGTATTTTATATTTTATGAGGTATTTTACATATTTTGCAATATACTTTGTTTACTTTTAAATATTTTCTAACGGTTCTAACTTATAAAAAATGCCTAGTTGAAAAAATTAGTTGAGAAAACTACAAAATGCTTCTATCAGGATTCAGTCCACCTTGCGAAAAGCGTGACCCGCATGAATCTTGATAGACGAAGATTAAGAACGTATATTGCAAGTTTAGAATTTTTCTAAAATTGCAATATATGATTTAGAAATTATATAACAATTTCTTCCTTTTGCTATAAATTGTTATGTTATCAAGTATATGTATAGATTATAAAATGTTTTTAATTTCTGTGATACACTTGTAGACTGAGAAAAAATATGTGTGTGTTCTATATACTGTTAACAAAAATTAATATATATGTAAATAAAATATAATTCTGTATGGAAGGAACGTAAAGTTGAAATATTCCCTTTAGAATTACCGCAAGATGTGTTACTTATTATTTTTTGTAGATGAGTGAATATATATATGTCTAGATGAGAGAAAAAGAAAAAGGAACAGAACACACTAATTAAATAACACAATAGATCGATTTCTTTGATATTTATTCCAGATAATTAGTCTTAAAGTTTAAAATGACGCTTATAAACAACAGGATATATCGACGAACTCATACGCAAATGCACTTGGATAAAATGTATACACGAATTGACTTATTTGGTTCTCTTTTTTTTTTTAGATTAAAGGTAACATTGCTTATAACTGAAACACTTTTGAAAATAAAGTTTGAAGTAGATCTGGCCATTAGAAATCATTTTTGTCGTATTAAAAAAAAAACCTGTATAACGTCAGATTCATCAAGGATAAAGAATATCGTAGTGACCAGGACGATATAGTAAGTGCACAGCTGGTATAGCACCTTCGGGAAAGTCATGGGCAGTCACCTCGGTTCCTGCACCCCTGTCCATGTAACGAACTCTAACACCAGTTCCTAGGGCACTACTCATTGCTATAATGTGAATATGGTCAGATTCCTTATACATTGGTTCGACTTCCTAGAAAAAACAAAGAGTACATTAGAGCAAATATTAATAACAGATAGAAGAAAGATCGTTGAGATTAATGTCAAATACGAACTTGATGACAGAATTCCGAGATAGTGCGTTCCCCCTCGATAAAATGTTGGTAGAAGTCAGCGTCGCGCTGCAACTGACCAGATGTGATTAATCTAAGATACACAACAACGTAATCGGAATAACCTTGTTCATTGAACAATTTGTGTAATTCCATGTGACTGGACTCCGTATCACCGCCTACTTTATCAATGACTTCCATAAACTGTAACAAAAGTTCATCAAAGTCAACTCGTGTTCCTCACAATAAATTCTACATGTCAAAGTCATATTATATAATACATATACTATACATATGTATATTATATGTACATTTTTTAAAATCTACTATATGTATACCATATATACTTTTTCAAGAATATAAATTCTTAATTCAAGGATGAAAATAAAGTCTCACCGTGTCATGAAAGTCTTCGACTGTAAATTGGGGAAAACCTAGAGCTACAAGGCTATCCTTGCTTTTTAAAGCTAGATCACGAAACTTATCGTACTCCTCTTTGTTCCCAATTAATTTCTCCAAGTAAGCATAACTAAATGCTCTGAAGAAACAATTGCCGTCAGGTCTAGTTCTCCTAATGTAAGAATACTTTTGAGCCAAGGCTTTCGCCTTCGAAAGATACACATCGTCTTCCGCATATTCTTGTTCTAAGCTCTTCAGTGGTTCCTTCTCGCCAACCAATGCTATAGATTCCGAAATCTAAAATACAGAAGATAACTATATATCTGAAAGTGGGAACCTCATGAAAGTTTCAGTCTTCACTTAAGAGAAAACACTCGACAATTGTCAAGGTAGTGTATTCGGAGTAAAATTTATACTATTAAAAGCAGTATAATTGTTCAAGTGTTATATGTTTTATCGAATAATAAATCGTAAATAATAAAATAAGTAATCTTCATTTCACATTGAAACTCTATCGTAGAAATAGAAGGAACACTTCGAAGAGGTAACAAGGCTAATTTGAATATACGACAGATTTTATTTCTAATCGCGCGAATTAAACGGAACTAATATGTCCTTCGAAGGTACACTTTTAACGTGACACAAGCAACGTATTAACCTCCTTCTCGATACGTCTTTGTTGCTGAAGTATTAACTCGTCCTGGTTGACATCTGCAATGAAGATCAGGATAATAAATTGCCCGGCTTTGATTTCTCGATAATAAATTACGCTAAGAGACCTGTGTTTTCGACGGGTTGCTCCTTAAGCGAGTTATTTTCCATATCTCAAAAGACCTTGCTAAATTCCACAACGACTGTCAAATTATCAATCGTAAACAAAAACTCCGATGTTTCCATGTGAAGTTGAAAAGATGTTTGCCGCTGTGCTTCACGCTCTTGCGTTGGCACTGTTGGCAGCATTATCGAGCAGATTCAATCTAGGTAGTTTACGTGACGCGTTAATAAAGATGGCACCAGAGAGAAGCGCGAAAGAGGCGCCATCCCGGCCTTTTTCGTGGAAGACCGTCGAAACCTCCTGTGTACACTACCGCCAGTAGTATGTGTAACATCCATTTTCGAAATTGGTACTACGTAGCCCACGTTCATTTTCCGACACTGCTGATAAAACATCATTCTAGTGCGCGTCCGCGCTACATTTGCAAATGTATAGTGTTATACATATGTATAGAGATAAAAGAGAGTTAAAAACATATATATATTAAGAGAGTGATATTCTTGTTTCCAGTTTCTAATATATATATTTTAGTATTGTTATATAAGGCAAGGGATAGCGTATAAGAAAAATGCATGAACGCGAATGTAAGAAGTAAGAACGGGACGCGTAGTAATGCCGCTCCTTATCGAACTGATCGAACGTTGTCGAACGTGAAGTTGACCGCGGTCCGCGTGGGAGACGATTCAAAGTGTCTCCGCCATATTGATGACGTTTTCCTGCATTCATTCCATTTTCCAGAACACGACGGACACGGCACGGATCGGCTCCGGGACGAGTGACGTCGCGACTCATTTAATTGGTTAGAGTCGTAACTTCCATTAATCTTGCATGCATTTATTTATTGCGGTATCTATCGCGCAGTATCGATTCAACGCTCGGGTATTAATGATTTGGAAGAATATACTACGTATTTCGCGATACTTTGTTCGGTCGAAGGCGCGTCGCGCGAGCAAGTGACGATTGTATTTTCCAATATCGCGAATATCGCGGATATATCTGTTAAAAATATTAGTACATCTATTCGCTAGAATACAAAATAACGATCGTAATAATAGGAGAGCTTATGTAGTATTTGATTTTTGAAGTCGGAAAATTCATGATTGCGAAGTTGAGAGCGCGACGCGTAGCGACATATCGTGAACATATCGTGACGCTCATGGTGCGAGAAGTTGTCCGCGCGGGAGGGAGACGAAGCGCCTCAGCCATATATATTGATGACGTTTTTTTCCCTTTTCAGATCGCGACGGACACGGTACGGGTACGGATCGGCCCCGGGACCCCCGGGACGGAGTGGTGTCGCGACTCATTTAATTGGTGAGTATAACATTTATTAACCTTTTTATTTAATATATTTATTGCGGTATCTGTCGCATAGTATGAATTCGGGACGCTCGGGTCTTAATAATTCTTGAAAATACGTGTTTCGCGGCGCTTGTTCGGCCGATGGTGTGTCGCGCGGGCAGTCGTGAGAGTATATATACGCGATCGTATTTTCTAATGTCGCGAAATTGCGGATATCTGCCAAAAGATTAATATGCCTATTTGCTCGAATGCAAAATAATAATCGTAGTAATAGGCGGACATAGTATTTTCCTATTCGAAGTACGAAAAATGCATAATCGCGAAGTCCAGAGCGGGATGCGTATAGTGACACCGCCGCCGCGCCGCGTCGCTTTTAACGCGAGAAGTCGACGTGCGAGAGACGAAGCGCCTCCGCTATATATTGATAATGTTCTTTCATTTTCAGAACCCTATTACAGAACGTGGCGGATACGGATCGGCTTCGGGACGAGTGGCGTCGCGACTCATTTAATTGGTAAATGTATTACAATTTTACATTTAATTAGTTCAGTCATATATAATATTGCATCTTATATATATAAAAAATCAGATGCAATATGAATATACAGCATTATTAAAATATGTATTTCTTGTTTTTATAAGAAAGATAATATACGGAGAGATCTTTCTTTTAAAATTTACCCTGAAATCATGGTAGTTGTGGGACATGTACAAGAATTTTATGCGAGCTATTTTGATTAACATCTACCATAATAAAAAATATTAATATCTATTACATTAAAATATAAAATATGTTTGATTAATTTTACTAAAATATATCTAGGAAATTTCAATAATTTTTCAAAATTTTCCAATCTGCTTGGTAATTTTTATCACGTTGTTTGTAAAATGTCTTTTGTATATTTTAAAAATTCCTTGGTTGTCAAGTTGTCCCAAGTTTGTAGTGAATTTAAGGGTAAAATATAACAAAAAATTCTCTCCGTATATGCTTCTATTTATATATACACACAGAAAAATAATCAATTTACAACCTAGAAAAGCACTTACTTATTTTATTTTACTTCTTTTAAGTAAAAGAATTTTTCTTCCAACCAAGAATATTTTTTTACTAATACTTTTTCAAATATCTTAACAGAAGTCAAGAATATTGTTTTGAGTAAATGTAATTCTTACAATGACTTTATGGTAGATTTGCGGATATATAAGCATACCAAATATTTAATCCACAAATTTACCATAAAGTCATTACAAGCATTACATTTACTCAAAACAATATTCTGGTTTTTAAAGACTTGCGCCCACTGATCTGATAGATCAGTGCTTGCGCCAAACAAAATATTGATTACAAGTAAACGTGATTACAATAAGTAATTACTAGAATATAATGATCGCGCGGCTTTGCCATCCTTGTACGATACTTTCGAAATTAATCACACGCGACGCGTACTTTATTCGCTTTCTATAATCCCTTCAACTATTAGCATTAAGGCTCAGTCACAATGAGAGGAATAAGGAATAAGATAAAGGAATTAGGAATAAGGCATGTTGCATCTCACTTTAATGTACGTGTACTGAAGTGAGATGCGACATTCCCTTATTCCTTATTCCTTTATCTTATTCCTTATTTTTGTCATTGTGACTGAGCCTTTATTCTCGCATATTTCTATTCTCGCTCACTTGTACTCCTATCTATCTCAACTTAGTATACCGACCTAAACGTATGCGTAACTTACCTTTCACAGGCTATTCCACTTTCACCGAAGAGCAGAGAAACTAAATCCAATCGTTGTCGATTCGTTTATAACAAATACTTTAACTTTGTAAAAAATACTGAACTTTGTATAAACGGTTCGTCGCGTCGCATTTTCGGGAGTGCCGTTCGAAGTCGTCGGATTATCCGGAATTCCGTCGCGCGATTTTAATAATAACTGCGCCAATTTCCACGTTCTCAGACGTGACGGCTGTCTCGTGCGTAGTCCTTGAACAGGGACGGCCTGGAGATCGCAGTCTGCCCAGATCATTTGATCTAACTGTGCGTGGAGGGGTTGTAACCAGACGTGTCGGTGGCGAGGAAAGATGATCCTCATTGTAGAGAACTCGTTTTCTACTTTTCGAGGATCTCTCTTCTCTCTGTCGAACACTTCATACTGACCACGCGGGGCTAAGTCTTTAATCGGGCAAATCGAGTCAGTTGTCCGGCTTTGAACGCGTTGAGATAACGTGGTTATCGTGGACGATTTTTCGACGGACAAAATCTGGCGTTATTTCATGTTTTCGGGAGTGGCGTATTAATTATCGCGCGATCATTGTTATTCGCGTTTGTGGTGCCGATGGAGTTGTGTCGGGCATCGAGGGAGCTGACAACCCGAGAGGTCAGCCTGAGAGAAGGAGGATGAGGCCCAGGAGAGGCATCGAACGCCGGCAAAACGACATTGTGGTAAATATTACTTTTTATTTTGTGTAAAAGTAATTTTAATTTTTGCTTATACTTGAGTCGTTTTATTTCTCATCATGATTTTGAAATAATAATTAGAAAGAAATAAGTAATTTGAAATTTTATAAGAGTTCATTTTTCTAAAGATCTTATTTGGAAAATGTATAATTATTGAAGTAAAAATTTCTAATTGAATGATAAATAAAAAGTTCGATACTCGTAAGAATTATTTAATCGAATTGCTTATTTATATGTTTCAGAAGATAACGCAGAGTGTCGCATCGAGGGAATTCCAACTAACAACCTGGGACAGTTCGAGAAGAGGAGGCCTGGGAGAGGCATCGGGCGCCAGCGGAACAACTTTGCGGTAAATATTATTTTTTATTTTGTGTGAGTAATTTTTTTGTTTATTCTTGAGCTTTTTTATTTAACTATGATTTAAAAATAATAGAAGAAGAGGAGTAATTTAATCTTTTATAAAAATTGATTTTTGTAAAGATCTTTATCGAAAAATATATAATTATTTAAAGACTGTTTTAAAACATTAGATTTTTTAAACACTGTTTTAAAATGAATTTTGTATTTGTTTGTTACAGAATCAACGTAGCTACGTAGCAGATATAATTCCGCTGTTGCGCATCGGGGTCGGTGAGTGACAAATTAACATATTTATTGATACAAAAGAAAATATTTGTCCGTTCGTACTTTTTAATTCAACGAACAGTAAAAATATTTTTTGTCTAAAAATAAGATTTTTAAATAAATTATAAAATTTTACTTTTATGTTATTTCTATAAAATATTATTATTTTTTAATTATTTTAATCAAAGGAATACATCAGATTCATATTTCATGTATTAATTTCTAAGGCTGCGTTCCCTAACCACATCCATAACATAATTCGCTGAACTTGAAGTGCTCGGTCTGTGTAGAAACGTGGTGTGATTAAAAATAAAAAAAAATAATAATTATTAAAATTCTACAACTGTACATATTACTTAATGCTATTATGTACTTATTGACGGTGAACCATAATGGAGTGAAGTTTTGTAAGTGAGAGTGAATATTAGAAAGAAAAAGAAAGAGATAGGGAGAGAATGTTTTATACCTCGAACTTCTGTAATGCTAATGTCAAGCAATTAATGTCTAGACTGAATTTGTGGATTATAATAGATAAGTGAAACACCGATATGACATGAATCAAATTAGGGAGAAACTCTATTTTAATGTATTATATATAAGCATCAAAATTACATTAATTTAGAAAAAGACCAAAACCCATGGTTGAAAGGTCTTGATGACTAATCTGACCAAACAGCCAATGATCAATTTGTTATGACAATGTCAAATAATTACCCATCACATGCTCTTCTTTCCTTTCTCGATTGTTCACCACGTTTGAGGATCCAAATCAACTTCCTGACTTTGACATTCTGCGGTAAGATTCGTATTATAATCCGTTGAAATTGAAGTGCCTGGTCTGTATAGAAATATGGAGTAATTAAAAATGGAATTATTTAAAACATTAACGTCGTAAGTTATTCTTTTGCAAAAAAGTAAACATTTTAATAGTAAGTTGTCATTATATTGTATTATATAAACAAACGAAAAATTACTCATTACATGCTCTTGTTTCTTTTCTCGATTGTTCACATGATTGTAGAGCCAAATCAATTGTTTCCTGACCTTGACGTTCTACGTTGGGCTCTATATCGTTACCGAGTGAACTTGAGGTGCTCAGTCCGCATTGAAAAACGGTGCAATTAGAAATGGAATTATTTAAAATATTAACGTTGTAACTTACTCTTTTGCAAAAGAGTAAGAATTAATTTAAATATGAAGAATATAATAAAATTAAAAATAGCCCAATATTTAAAAAAGAACCCCTTTACCGATCATCGCCAAATTCAATACCAACCTTCATTAAATAATACTCTATCAATCAAATACTACAAAGAACGGTTGATTGTTGTGTAACAGAAACTTTTATTAATTATTATTAATTTATTAATTATTATTCATCTACGTAATCAGTGGATGGCAGATATTATTTATTTATTAGAAGTATCTATGAATCGTACATTTTATGCAATATTAATGTCAAATAAATAAATATTTAATCTAAATTTCTGAATTGCCTATATCTATGATGCATGAAAAAACGTGAAAATAGGGATTCATATTTATTTGAATTATATTTGCGAAATAATTAAAAATAATCGTTATTACGATTTGAGAGGCACATTTATGATCAAAATTGCAAATAAGCATTAATCATCTTTAGTATTTTAATAATTTTTGATTGTGTACTTACTCATCTCGATTCTGGGTTATTGTGGAATGCCTTCTTAAATGTCTTCGTAAAAATGCCATTTTTGTTAAGAAAGACACTGCTTTGCCACAATTATTACATTTTGCCTTATATCCCGGTAACTCCGAGTAATATTGTTTTAAGTCGTCAGGTAGTGTACGAATGTCATTATCGAGAAATATTTCATGTTTCTTTAAATGTGCTCTGAATATTAGTGTACGGTGTGATGGACGAGATATCTTAATTTCTTTTTTACAGGTCGTGCACTTTACCAGCGTAGGTTTCAATTCCTCGAAATAATTCCACAACTTGCTGCGTTTTTTTGTCGATGTCGTCCTGTAATACATATTGTCTAGTATTAAATGTGGTACAGTGATTGCATCAACAAGCGTTTGTAGAATTTTTCACAAAGAGGCATGGTTTACTTATTAGGATGTATGTTTATACGGATATATAGTCAAAATTTGCATAATTATCGGATCCCGTACAGATCTTCAAACATATTTTTTTTTTAAAAAGTAATAAACGCACCAAGTGTACATGCACATTTGTGATCAAAATTGCGAATAAATATTATATGGATGCCCCGAAACTATTATTCACTCAATTTTCTTTAGCTACTGATTGTTTTATTATTAAATTTATTTTACAATCTTTAGTATTTTAATAATTTGTTGATTGTATACTCACTCATCTCGACTCTGGGTTATTGTGGAATGCCTTCTTAAATGTGTTCGTAAATGTCCAAAAGTTTTTAAGAAGGATATTGTTTCGCCGCAATTATTACATTTTGCCTTACATCCCGGTAATTTCGAGTAACATTGCTTTAAGTTGTCAGGTATTGTGCGAGTGTCATTATCGTGAAATATTCCATGTTTACTTAAGTGCCTTCTCATTACGTTTGTGTAGTCTTTTGGATGAGATACTTTAATTTCTTTTTTACAGGTCCTGCACTTTAGCAGCGTAGGTTTTAATTCCTCGAAATAATTCCACAACTTGCTGCGTTTTTTTGTCGATGTCGTCCTGTAATACAGATTGTCTGATTAAATGTGGTACAGCAATTTCATCAACAAGCGTTTCTTTGTAGAATTTCTCACAAAGGTTATAATGACACATTTAGTTTATTAGAATGTATGTTTATACTGATAATAGTTAAAATTTGCATAATTATCAGATCGCGTACAGGTCTTCAAACATATTTAAAAAAAAAGGAAAAAACGCATTAGATGTACTACATGCACATTTATGATCAAAATTGCATATAAATATTATATGGATGCTCCGATAAAAAATTTGATTCACTCAATTTTCTTTAGCTACTGATTGTTTTATTATTACATTTATTTTACAATCTTTAGTATTTTAATAATTTTTTGATTGTATACTCACTCATCTCGACTCTGGGTTATTGTGGAATGCTTTCTTAAATGTACTCGTAAATTTTCAATATTTGTTAAGAAAGACACTGCTTTGCCACAATTATTACATTTTGCCTTATATCTCGGTAACTCCGAGT